AAGACAGGCCACAGGGTCCTTCCTGGTGCCCTCGTGACTTCATTCCCTTTAACTCTCCCCTTCGATAAGTTTCTAGCTCTAAGCTCTGTACAGCACTGCCAACTGCTGCCTTAACAACTCATCTCCTCACACACCGAGCAGATTCTCTCTTTGATTCCTGTAATTCTGTTCACGTGCCCCCCACCCCTTCAGTTACCTGGGGCAAACATACTGGAGCAATCTCTGACTTTAATTAGAGAGGAAAACAGATGAACCAATGGTTCCTTACTATTATTTTTTGCTTGAGCACCTGAGTAGATAATGATGCCTTTATGATGTTTATAATCTAGGGGGTGGAGTGGGGGAGGAATGGCAGGGTAGTGGGTACAATCCAAACAAGAAATGGATAATTATAATATCGTATGAAGAATGCAAAGATGGAGTAAGTTTGCCCAACCCAGACTAGGGGATAGGAGTGGTCAGGGAAAAAAAATATATATATATAATTTGGTCATTTTACAGCTTTTGCCAGCTTAAGAAATGGTTTCCCATTGCTTACTTAAGCACAAGCCCCAGAGTGCAGGAGGAAAACCCTCCAAATCACAATCACAATATTCTTTCACAAGCTTATCTGTCATGATCCCCAACTTTGGATCCTAACCTCAATAGGACTAGAATAAACACCATTTCCCAAATGTTTCTTGGGTATTTCCACTTAGATACATTTGTCTACATGGCTTCCTTTCTATGTTGTGTTTGGCCCGACCCCTCCCCACCATCTCGGCTCTCCCAAAGCTTCTTCCATCCTTCAAGACCCATCTCGAATGGTAACTACTCTAAATAAGCATTTCTTGGTCCCACCCGTTCACCCCCATGGAAACATGGAGGTGGCTCACCCTCATAGGGACAGCCTGGCACTCTCTCTATGACTTTCTGGTGGGTCTTTCAGTCTGCCGTATACCATACTTTCAGTTGCACCTCATTATCTCCCCTTTATTATAGAGGAGACATTTCTGGATTATAACATTTTGAGGGCAAAAACATTGAGTTACTCATCCTTTATTTTCTACGCCAAGCTATGCATACACTAGATACTACTTTTACAGTTTTCTCTTGTCTTTATCACTTCCCCCTGAATTCAGCCCATTTGCATTAAGTGCTACATGGGCCCAAGCTTAGGCTACAAACCTAGCAAGTATTCATCCCCATCACTTTTTTGTTTATAGAGTGAAGAGATGGTTTTCTGAAGAGTCCTTCCAAAGGCACCATCCTTATCTCTTCCCAGAGACAGGCCAGCCCTTGGAAGGCATGCTTTCCTGATTTCTCTAGCCAAGAAAGGCTCCATGTTGTATCAGAGCCAAGTCTGTCAAAACTGACTTCTCTGCATCCACACCTGAATCTGCCTAATTCTCCAAAGCCACAGAGGTATAAATAAAACTTCCACCAGGACAGGGGGAGGTTTGCCAACTGTGGGAAGATAAATGGCCTGGGGACTTCATGCTCCAAAGGCAGAAAGGCTGGATTTCTTATTTCAATGTAGCAAAAGGGATGCTGTGAGCCTAAGGTTTTTTTTCCCCCCATTGCCAGAAAGTTATGGGTCACAACATTTAATTTGATTAATTCCTGGTTTCCAAAAGGAAACCTTAGGAGGAACCTTGGGAGGCTCAATAAAATAAGTATGTGCAATTGTTAAGACAGGAAAGGGGAAAAAATGACTTCCATCAGAGCCCACAAAGATTGTTTCCAGTCCCAAACATGGATCCCCAGAGATAGCCTGGAAACCAAATTATTGTCAAAGAGATGCTTACCTTTTACAATAGCTCACAGCAAAAGAAAACATATAGCTTAACATCTCTCCCATGACTCACCCTTTTTTTTTCTTACATTTTATCTCTTTCTGCCTTTCCCTTTCCCTCTCCCAGATTCTACGCTCCCTGTCTTCTAAGTCTGAGCTCTTCCACCAAGTAGAGGTATATCCCTGAATGAATCACTTAGCCTTCTTAAGCTTCAGTATGCTTAACAGCAAAATAAGGTATTTATACTACATTATTAAGATTCTTTTACTTCTGAGTCTAAATGTAAATGCAGGCTTGTTCTAACTGCTCCCATACCGTTGGTCATTTTCGTGCTCTAATATTTGTTTCTAAGATGAAGACTACTTTCAACCCACACACGGAGCAAGCTAATTTGTTGGTGAGAGTCAGTTATGAGAAGTTCTACCTTTGGATAGCTGAGATCAAATAGCTAAGTGAAGTGGCTGGAGCCAAAAATAAATGGGTTTAGTCACACAGATTAATACATGGACCAGAGGGATGTGTTTAGATACTTCATTGAACAGCTAATTAATTGGCCAACATGGTCAATAACTTGGGCACTCTTCCTACCTGCCCAATTGGGCTGTGTATGTTTGTTCATATTCAAATTCCTTTGTAAAAATTCACAGAGATGTTTAGACTCCTACACTATCAGGTCTGGTCAGAACCTTTATTGTCACAGTTTCACTCGGGAAAAGTGAAAGTCAAAAAGATGAGGTCTTTCAGCTGGTTAGTGCAGGAGAGAAGACTGGGCAGGTACTTATAATCCTGCTAAGGCACATGGCAGCCATTGGCTAATTAATCTTTCATTTCCTCCCACAGGATGACCCAGAATTCCACTTGGATTAACAAACAGTCTATACTTCATTAGCTTTCCATTTTTTACCCTTTCTTTTTGCCTGGTCTTAACTTTCTCCTCCCATGAGACCTTTTATTCCTTCTATTTCATTTTTAGAAAAGTCTCCTCACACATGTTTCCTCTGTAGAGTTTTCATGGCATTTTATCTATGTGGTTAATTCCCTCATCTGAATGACTGCTTGGAAGAGGTTTTGTATTATTTTTGGCTTGGGCATCTACTTCCTACCGGTGAGTGACACTGAAGCTGCCTCCCAAAATGCCCCACAGTGCTGATAAGACAAACTGGCAAAGGGCAAGACAGAAGCCACAAGAAGAAGTACCTTTATGGCAGGACTCTGATATACAGGAGATGAGCTAAAGATTAGTTCTCAGCATCCGTTCATCATGAGTAGAATACTTGACATTAGGGGATGCAGAATGGCCACCTGGCTAATAATGACATTGACCTAAGACATAACACATCTAACTCAACTCTTCTCACTGTTTGTGGGAGCCGGGACAGCAGTGGTCAAGATGTTTGAAGTTCCTGGCATGAACTGAGGTCAAAGTATGCAAAGATTGTTTCCATGTGGTCTGAACAGAAAGAACATCACTCACACTAGCGACCTCTTCGACCACCTTATGATAACCTGGCTTTGAGAGCACATTCTGACTACGCATTGTCAACCTTGGACAGGTTTGCTCTCTGGGAATCTGCTGCATATCAGCATGCCTAAGACAGTGATGCCTGGTGGAGAGAGGTGCGAATAAGGGCTGATAAAGCTTCTTTCAACTCTGAGAATCTGTGGGTTGCACCTTCCCACTATTGATCCATTATTTGGCCTCAGGCAAGCATTTTTATAAATGGAGATTCAGCAGATGGTATGCTTTTAGAAATTAGGTATAATTTCTCATGTGAAAGTTTGATCTAGCAACTCCTGCCCTACTGGGCTTAACTTGGGCTTTGCACAAAGAACACCAAGCACTGTCAACAGAGCCTGATGATGAGAAACGGGAACCCCAGATGAGCATATCCACTTTGGGCAGACACAAAGTTTGGGCCATTTATCACCTGAGCAAATTCAGGGGACCTGACTGCTAATTGGTCTCTTCATTAACCAAGGAGAACATCTACCACGGCAACTCACAAGCTAGGGACAATTTGGGGCAACCTTTAAGTAGCTTCTAACTCATTTATTTCTTCCTGAAATCTGTTGGCCTAGAAAATGTCTAATTCTTTATGAATAGTCTGCTCTCACCTCCACCAATTATGGACTCCCCGGAAGGAAAAGGACAAGCAAGGGGTACACATAAACAGAGGTGAAACACTACACCCAAATCTTAAACAGGGATAATTAGTCTTTTAAAACCAACCTTTGGCCAGGGGTTATGTGCTATTTTGGGGTGAGGGGAACATGAGAAATCCTTTTAGCTTCTGCAACTCCTAGAGGAGTGCCTATGCTTTTCCTAGTAAATTACTACTCTGTTTTACAGCAGTCTTATCTATGTGATGTGTGAACAGGGATAAAGAGATACTTATGCAGAAGTGTGACTCTTCCATGGCAAGGAAAGTCTGTATGGGTGGGCAGTTTAGCAAGGAAATTCTGCCAGCAACTGCCACGGAATGAGCTTTTTGTAGTACCAACCAACACTTTAGAGATTAGTGGGCAAGTCCCACCCCAATGAACTTGCCAAGAGATGCAGCAGTAAGGTCCCCTTGGGGGCACAAGGCTTGCAGCACCTCTCAGCCAAGTTCTCTCCCTTTTGTGCAGCAAAATGACAGTCAGGGTTCTATTTTGGGCAGCTTATCAAATACCTATAAACAAAGAGAGGACAGTATAGCCTGGGCCCATGGATCCCCTATCAGGAAGACTTCAGGATTTACTGGTCATCAGCTTCCAATGGCTCAGTAGACTTCTCAACCTAGGATGTGTGACCTCTGGAGAAAGCACATCAGAGAAACGAGTTGTTCATGCACATCCAACTTTGACAATCTTGGGATCCTGTTGGCATTCCTACTAAGTGTTAGAGTCTTTATCCAACTAGCAAACTGTACCATCTGATCAGATGAGAATGTCAGAAGAGCACCTTTAATAAAAAGCATGAAGATGATTGTAGTCTAGGAAGCTACTGGGGCTGCCTTCAGGCCCACGGTTCTCAGGCAATGGCTCCGAGAGAGAAAAGACAGTAACTACCAAGTAAACAATGTATAAAATGTACAGCAGACTCCAATGGATAAGATGTTCATGTGGTTCTTACCTCTTTGCAAACTAGTGAATGCAACGTGCCAAAGATGGCGGACCTCTAAAGAGCAAATCCCACCATTAACTAACAGGATAGTCCCAGTTTGAAGGAAAACTTGGACTTACCTGGAGATATGGAGGAGTCGTAAGAACTTCTGTCCTTGCGGTTCATCTTGAAGGCTTGGATGTCCTTTTCCCTGTACGTCCCAAAGCCTTCGTAGCTCCTCCTTTTACTCCCACTCATGTCACTGTCCCACTTGTCATTCGAAGGGTTCATTTCACTGAACACGTCCAGGCTCTCTGGTCTTGTGCTGCCACTGTCCCCGACACTGCCTGAGTACCTTTTTGTGCATGAGTCCACAGGCTCACTGCTCAAGTCACCTTTGTCCTTGGCCTGCGTCCAATGCTGGGCATCAGAAAGTGACAGCGTCGACAGGGTGTCCACCTCAAAGTTGTTCTTCGAAGCTTTGTGGCTGACTTCACTGTGCTGGTGCTTCTGCTTCTCCTTATGCTTGTTCTTCTCACTCAACAATGGGAGCTCTTTGTCTGCGCTACTCAGCCGCTCGCTCAGGATGTGGCTGGAGAAGCCCGTGGCTTTGCCTGCAAAGAGACCACTCAGGTTGTCGTGGGTCCCCAGGATCCGGTCTTCCTTGTGCTTATGCTTGTGTTTGTGTTTCCTCTTGTGGAGCCGACCACTGGACAGACTGGCACCGCCGACCTTGGGAGGATTCAGGGATGGTTGCATGTCACCAAGGCCCATGCCAACAGGTCCCTGCAGGTGTACTCCATGCTTTGCTTTATGCTTCACCGTACCGGACATCTTCATGTGGGAGCTTGTGTGGAACTGAGGTGGTGGCACTGTTGGCCTCATGAATGGGGAAGCTGCTCCGAGCGTGTGCGATAGGTATAAAGGAGCTGGGTACTGACTGTAATAACCAAGGTTCATCATAGGCATTGATGTGTAAGGCATTCCATAGGGTGCATAGTAACTTCCACTGGGAATAGGGTAGCTGAACCCTTGTAAAAAAGGCACCTTTGTCATGGTGTCATTGGTTTTTGCAGGCCTACCACGCTTCTTCTTTGACTTCAAGTCTGAAGTCCTACGAAGATAGAGCAACGGGTCATACTGGATATATGGCACCGGGTAATAGTGATCAAAATTTATCCGAAAAATGCTGGGATACGGATTCTCATGGTAAAAGGTGTAACTCCGGTGGGAGATCCTGAACACCTGGAACTTGGTGATGAGCTCTTCCAGGTCTGCCAGAAACTGGAGATCATCACGGTTTTGCAGGCTTTTCCGTTTCCTCTTGTGCTTTGGCTTCTTGAGGCTTTCATGGGCCAGGAAGTTGTCCACAATGAGATGCTTCTGCCGGTGGCCATGCCGGTTCTTTGTGCTGGTGTCAGACGGAATGGCCTCCGGGTTGTCCAGGGAGCAGAAATCAAAAGAGTACCTCCGTCGGGATTCTGAACTCTTCTCCGCTTGGTCAGACGTGCTATTGTTGTCTGTCCCAATGCCACTGTCGCTTGGGATCGTCTCCTCACTGTGCGACTCGCTCACAGGGGACAGTGTGATTTCCTTGAGTGACCCGATCTCGCAAAGATGTGAAGGTGAGTTGGCCATCAGCCTGGGTGGAGACAGCTTCCAGGTTCCACTATGTATTCCCTTTTGGGTTTTGGTTGGAAGAGCACTGATGGGCTGGAGATTTGGCATAGTTTTCAACTCTGAAAAATTGGTTTCAGTGCTGGCGGGGCTCAGGTTGCCATTTAACCCACCTAATTGTGTTGAAAGTGGGTGCATAGTTGCTGGTGAAGACGCCACAAGTGACTGAAAGTTGGAAGGCACGGCTGGAACATCCGGCTGGCTAGAAACAGGCCTTGGGTGCTTGATGGCTGTTTTGGGTTCTTCGGATGGGGGTGGCAGCTCTGCTCTTGGCTTCCTGCCCCTCTTCTTGCCAATGTAGATGGTTCCCCTTTTGCTGACATTAATCTGCTTGCCCAGTTTGCTCTCAATTGCTGCTGCCCCAGGGCTGGTCTCCGGGGGAGCTTTAGCCTTCAGAGCAATGTTGCTGGAGCAAGACAAGATCTGGTTCAAGATATTTTTCCTCTTGAGTGTTTTCATCTTATTGATCGTTTTGATGGTCTTCTTATCCAACACCCCAAGCTTTCCAACTTTTTTATGAAATTTCATCTCGCTCATGGGTTTGTCCTCTCCTGGCACTAGTTGAGCCAACTTAGCTAAACTGCGTCGTCTCTTTCTTTTCTTGGTGCCAGAAAACTCCCGGCTGATGGGACTGACCGGACTGGTGGAAGTCCCCTCATGAATTGTCTCAACCGTGAGTAAAGGCTGCTTCTTTGGTCGTCCCCGCTTCTTTTTGACTGGCGTGATCACAGTAAGACTGTCTGTGTTGGTGTAGAGAGGGCTGGATGGGGTGATGGGATAAGCAGATGGTGGTTCCACCATCAGTTTATCGGAGGTGGCCATGACTGCCTCCCGAAGCATACTGGTGGGTTTGGGTTTGCTGCACGTCCACCTCCGTTTGGCAGCAAATTTTGGATGTTGGATTTCTGGCAGTTTTCTTGATGGAGAGTGATCTTTGCATGTTGGAGGCGTCATGACCACGGTTGGCTTCCTTTGCTTAGACACAACTCCTGGGGCAACTTTCTCGACGTTTCCACCCGTTTCAAGGCCAATGGAGGGGGACTCGTTCTCTATAATTTTACCCAATTTAGAGACACGGGGATCTTTCTTATTTCCCTCAGAGTTGGATAGTATCCTGTTAACTACTTCACTGCTCATAGTGATTCCAGAAGCCAGAGCTTTCTCTGGCATGATCTTCTCCACCACTGCCTTGATGGACTGTCTCTTTTTCCTTTTATGGCTGGTTGGGTCTAGACAGGGTGCCTTAATAGGGATGGTAATCCGGACATGACTCGAGTCATTCTCAGGATTACTGATGGAACTCCCATTCTGCCTGGCTGGTGATGCCTCCTGGGCATGATCTGCAGAGTAGCCTTCCCTTTTCCCTTCTGTATTGTCAAATGCTTTCTGGGCATTCTTGACCCAGTCCAGGTCTGGGTTTGGTATGGTTTGACTTATCACATCTTTTTTACTGGACTTTTTCTTGCTGCTTATAGTAGGTGGCTCTGGGGGATCCTTTGCTCCTCCCCCATCTTGATCCACCAAGGGCTGAAGCCCATTGCACTCGGCAGAGCTGCTGGGTGGGGCTGGCGAGCTGTGGTTGCTTGGGGATGGAACCACACCTCCCAAGAGCAGATCTTTGCTGCTGTTGGACAACTGACTCCATGTGTTCCCTGCACTGCCTTTCTTACCCTGGGCCTTTGCAAAGGAAGCCACGGGCTCAAGAGCTGGGATCTTGCTGGTGCTTGCAGTTTCTCGGCCAGATTCTGGACTGATGAAGCAATTCTGAGTGGCAGGTCCACTGTCAGAGTTGGTGGACCAGTCCATGTGATTCTGGCTGATGCTTTTTTGCTGGTGCTTTGGTTTTAAGGTGTCACTGGTGAAGTCTTGTGGGAGGCTTGGGTCATAATGGAGAGCTGAGTGTTTCTGTGGCCGCTCGTAAGCCTAAAGGTGGGCAGAGTGGAAGGAGAGAGAGAGAAACAAAGATGAGTATGTTGGAGCTGTTTAAAATTTAATGTCAAAAGGCTTAATGATATGAAAGTTGGAAACCGCCACCTTTAATTCCAGAATGCTTTATGGAGGTTTTTTTCAGTTGAAGTAGTAAAAACATGACGCACTATTTTGAACATGAATAAGGATGCTTTAATCATGTCTGCCCCTCCCCGCCCCACCTCCTAAAATACAGCAGGAATTGTAACCTATCTTGGTCAAATGCAAGCTGAGAACATAAACTGTTTAGAGCAGCAGTCGCCAACCTTTTGGATCTCGCGGACCACCAGTTGGCGACCGCTGGTTTAGAGAGGGGAGAGGACCTAAAGGTCATTAGTTCAATGCCTGTATTTTACAAATGAAGAAGCTGATATTTCAACAACAGAGAGTCCTGGCCAAGATGTCAGCATCCAGGACAGAACCTGTGTTTCCTCACACCCTACGTTTTTTTGCCCAACTCGAGCTGCCTGTTACATCTACCCCGGCTTCTCCTCAAACGCACAGCTCCCTTGCTGTCTCCAATTGCAGTCCCTTTCTGTGTGTACTTTATACTGGACTTCGACAGCTCCGCAGTAGGAACCGCTATGAGGAGGCAGAGCAGCACACGCTGAGGAGTTCAGGGGGAAGTTTGACGGCTATGGGGGAAGTGGGCCAGTCAAAGGCATGGAGAGAAAATGAAAGAGCCGTCCAACCTGGGCTGGCTCCAGCAGTGGTGCTGTGTTGGGGCGTCAGGCCGCTAAGGCATCCTTACGCCACATTAGGCAGTGACTGCTCTCCTGAGGAAACTCCTGGATTCTCTCAAAAGGAACCTTGAGTCTCCTGGACAAAGGTGCCAGGAAAAAATCATTATCATTCACGATCACACCTCTGAACCTGTCAGCTGTGGTTTCCCCTGCACCGATTCTAAATGAATGTCTTCAGACTCTGGAACCTTCCTCAGGGGAGGCAAACCCTGTGCTGGGGCCAAGCATAACCAGCCTCTATAACATCATAAAGGGAACGGATAGTGAACACATCGTTCTGAGGTATTAAGCCTATTTTTAATATAGAGATGCTTGCATGGTTCCAGGTAGATTTCAAGCCACGCTACCAATACAAAGAAGCATTCCTCAAAGCTTATTATTAGTCCCATTTTACACACAAAGTAGTAAACTTACAGCATATTACCCGAACATTTGTTTAGGAAGGGAAAATGCTAGTAAATTAAAGGAAACTTTGGACAATATCCTCACGGAGAAGTATATGATGATTGGCTTAGTGAAGTTTTAACCTATAATATCTATCTATCTATCTATCTATCTATCTATCTATCTATCTATCATCTATCATCTACCTATATCTGCTTGCCATGGATGCTTTAGGATTTATGCTCTATTTGAAAACACTTCTTACAGTCCTTGTTAAGAGTCAAAGCACAAGACATCAGGAAGCAACACAGGTAAAATGCAATGGAGTAAAATAACCAGAGTTTCCTTCATCCTAGTTCCTGGAAGACCTAGACTTATTTCCTGCCTCCTGGAATTTATGAAATCCTCTTTGTATTTCCAATATTGGATTATATTTCTTAAGTAACATGAGAGTCTCCCCAAGCTAAGCCTGTAAGTACCCAGAAGAAAATTAAGAAAAAAATTACTGAACTATTTCTTCATCACGTGGTTCATAGTAGATATATCAATACATCATCAACATCTAGAGAACTGAGCCTGTCCTGAGTTCCTTCACTGGGTATCACTGCTGTGAACAGAGGCTGCTAAGCCAGTTTTTGGAAATAAGTATAGAAGTCCATGGTGATTGTGGGGTTAGAGCAGTGATGGCGAACCTGTGACACGCATGTCAAAGGTGAAACGTGAACTCATTTTTTTGGTTGATTTTTCTTTGTTAAATGGCATTTAAATATATAAAATAAATATCAAAAATATAAGTCTTTGTTTTACTATGGTTGCAAATATCAAAAATTTCTATATGTGACACGGCACCAGAGTTAAGTTAGGTTTTTTCAAAATGCTGACATGCCGAGCTCAAAAGATTCGCTATCACTGGGTTACAGAGCAATGGGGTGGAGGTGGAAGAGGCATAGAGGGGATAAGTGGGAAAAATAAAATAAACATTTAAAAAAAGGAAATCTTATTTATGGCATAAAATATTAAATGGCACGTTCTTATGTATTATGAATCAGGGCTTTGCTAACTCCTCACTTATGCTTTGCATTTTAGTTGCACTATATGTATATTCAAAGTTGGCAGGTCTACAGGAGGACTTAACGATAAGTTTCTCACCCATAAGGGTAACAATACAGTTGATTCCTTATCCTACCACACTTTTGAGTTAGTGGTGGCACTTATTAAAAAATCATATTGGTATGAAAGGTGTAAGTTACTGTTTTTGACTTGGGTAAAACAGGACTTAGAGTCACTCCCCTTCCCTTCCCTCTACCTCAGTGGCTCTCAACCTTCCTAATGCTGTGACCCTTTAATACAGTTCCTCATGTTGTGGTGACCCCCAATTTCATTGTTACAAATTGAACATAATTAAAGCATAGTGATTAGTCACAAAAACAATATGTAATTATATGTGTGTTTTCTGATGGTCTTAGGCGACCCCTGTGAAAGGGTCGTTCGACCCCCAAAGGGGTCGCGACCCACAGGTTGAGAACCGTTGCTCTACCTCCTGCCACCAACCCCTCTCTGATCTCGGAGATCAGGACACTGAAGTCACAGAGGGGCTTCCTGGTGATGCTGGAATCTGGTCACCAATTCCTACCACTTTTTCTCTACTGCCTCACCTTCTTCTTGGTTTCTAGTGGAGTCTTTAATTAACTCTTTCTTTATGTTTTAATCGCAGTCGAATCCCACGAGGCCCCCTACCTTATAGAAATACTCCTATTATAAGTTTTTATAATAAAACCATGGGTCTCATCTTTGTTATACTTATCACAGTTTTCACTTTACAGTCGTTTGTGGACTAATTGAATGAATGCCCGTCTCCCTTTCTATCCTATGTATACACCATCTCAGAGGTCCCAAGCACAGTGGCTGGCAAGTAGCAGGCACTCAATAAACATTCATTGAATAAATAATGGAGCATACATTTTACTATGGGTATTTCATTTTCAAACAGTGAGATTAATGACCTGTGCATTACGACATACTGTCTGCAAACATAATCACCCCCTCCAGCCTAATTTCTTATGCCATTCCTTCTGCATGAACCATTGTCTCTCCTAAAAATTGTGACATCTGTCATAGTCCCTATATGTGCCATTTATTTGTGTACTTCTCCCTTTCCCTGTCCTAGACTGTAAGTACCTTGAGGTCAGAGACTCTCATTCATCTTTTTATCCCCAGTGCCTTCTACAAAGCAAACCACCCAGAAAGTTCCCAATACATGTTTGTTGAATGAATGAACAACATATTATTTGAGCTGCCTACCATCATCACAAAATATATAGCTGCACACAAAAGACAATAAATCACCCATCAATTGTTTGGTCATGGCTCGCCATGAAACTGGGCTGCTCAAATGTATTAGGTGTTGAACAACAACAAAAAAATCTTTCTCAAATACTAAGCACTAAAGGAACTTGCAAGGTAGCTTCCCTTCAGTGCAATTTTTACTGTGAGTCCTCCCCCAGCTCCTGTTAATTGTTTCGCTTTCCAATTAATTCTGCCTTTGGGGAAGGCCATGTGGCTGTCGGGAGGGGGGACTTCGCTCTGGCAGTTGAAAGGTGGGGCCTGCTCACTTACACCCAGGGCGGGCCAGCTGCAAGTAATGCAGTTAAGTGTGCCTGGTTCCTGGGCTTCCATCTGGAAGCTGCCTGATCCCATTGTTCCTGCAGATCAGCTGCAATCTGCCTGCTGGGAGAGTCAGGCAATCAAAGGGCAGGATGGACAAATGGGAAGCCCAACAAAGGATCAGGAGTAATGGGGGAAATGGTGCTTAAACCCTGCACTTGGATGGGCTGCAGTGACAAGGTAAAGAGGACCGAGGGGGGTGCTGTCCGAGGGGTCTGGCAGAACAAGGCTTTATTCTCGCGGTGGCTGACGGCTATATCTGTTGCATTTCAAGAAATCCCATTTCTTCATCTGTCAGCCATGACATATGATACACACCATGGTGAGGCTGTCAGTTTCAATATGTCCTTCACTGAGAATTAAGCACTTACTCCATTGAGACTGAGACGGACATGGCAAACCTGGCCCCGAGCACAATGCTGAGGCAAGTGGGAGAAGTACCAGCTCTGCCTCCCACCCTTCTCTAGAGGTTTGGGGATTTGATTCCCTATTGGGGGGAGGGTCTTATATCCTTGACTGGGGACTTAGTAATCCATGCAGCAAGGTTTCCATTTCCCCCTCAGAAGATGAATTTTTCTGGGGGAGAAAACCTGAATCTTTTAAGGCCTTTTGTACCACCCTCAGCAGGGCCATCTCCTAAAATGGTTCACAAATAAGGGAAGAAATGATGCTACTCTACATTGGGCCAGTTATTTGTGTGGAAAAATCTTTTTTAAAAATATATTTTTTTTATTGATTTCAGAGAGGAAGGGAGGGGAGAGATAGAAACATCAATGATGAGAGAGAGTCATTAATTGTCTGCCACCTGCATGTCCCACATTGGGGATGCAGTCTGTAACCAGGCATGTGCCCTGACCAGGAATTGAACCTTGACCTCCTAGTTCATAGGTCAATGCTCAACCACTGAGTCACCTGGCCGGGCTGGAAAACTCTTAGCACGTCTCTTTGGCTGCTCCTCCACCCCCATGAATTGACTGCTTGTGGAACTCATAGGCACTTTGAAGGTGTGGGTCAGTTTTATAAGAACAGTGCTTTCCGCATATTGAG